TGACATATGTAGAACCATAAGGTTTGAAAAGAGGTTCAAAATTGAGTGAGGCAGTAAGACAACCTGGAGTGCTTCCTCCCTTGAGGGACTCCTTCAGGATAGTACACTGCAGTGGTACGCAGATGGCTCGAAGACCCCGGAAGGAATAGGGGCTGGAATCTTCGGACCTAGGTCCAGGATCTCTATCCCGATGGGGAAATATCCGAGCATATTTCAGGCTGAAGTCTACGCCATCTACGTGTGTGCGGAGACCATAATTAATAGAGGATACCGTAATGAGAAGATTGTAATTCTTAGTGACAGTCAGGCGGCACTCAAGGCTCTGTTATCCTTCGAAATTAAATCGTCTCTAGTCCTTGGGTGCATAGAGAGGCTCAACTCCCTTGGTATGCACAACAACGTCAAACTGGCTGGGTGCCTGGCCATATGGGAATAGAGCGGAATGAAGCGGCGGACTGTCTCGCTAGAGAGGCGGCAGCCATTACTCCAATTGGCCCTGAGCCCTTCCTGGGAGTGGGTCCCAATACTATTAAGGAAAAGCTCAAGGAGGAGAGGTACAATATGAGGGACTCGAACTGGCAGAGTTCGGTAGGTATGCGACAGGCAAAAAGCCTGCTAGGAGGGTACAACAAGAGTAGATTCAATAGTTTAATTAGCCTCCCAAAAGAGAGGCTGAGAATATTAACAGGTTTTCTTACAGGACACTGCAGACTGGGAGGGCATATGTATAAAATGGGGTTACGATCGAGTGACCTTTGCCGGTTCTGCGACGTCTCCAGTGAAACGCCACTCCACATCCTCATTGAGTGTGATGCGGTCAGCAGAAGACGTGAGAGGAGTTTAGGTTCCATGTGGCCACAGTTAGAGCACATTTACTCCTTATCCCCAAAGAAGCTCTGGGACTTCCTGGGGGATTTTGGCTTGGAGGAAGTATTGTGAAAAGTGGAGGGCACAATAGACCATTAGGTCGCAGTGCATACCTCATAATTTATCTATCTATCTATCTACGTGATTCATGCCCAGTTGCAACAAATGAGTCCATACATATTTATGTACATACATAGGTACAAAGTCGTATGTATGTGCGGAGTTTAAATAATCGGAATTAATAATCAATTTTAGCGCATTTCCTCTTACTATGCATATGCCTAAATGTATGCAACCATTTACAATAGCAAGCAAACACAGGGCGCTTCTAATGAAAATAAAAATATTATGCTGAAATACACATGAAAAGCCCTTCGAAATTTTGTGCTGGGATATGCGTTACAGCTTCGCAAATTTTACCCCTACCGAATCCAAAGATGTATACACATCAAAAAGATTTGGAGGTTTTTCTATATAGATATAGGTCTCTTATCCTGAGTCAAAATCATTCCGCCTACAGACAATGACCCTGAAATTGTTGCACAGTGTAAATTGCAAAATACTACCATATCTAACAAACACAGCTTAAAATACGGTAGTGCAAATCCACTGACGTTCACTGTACTTATAAGTACATATAAGTATATATATATATATATATATATATATAAGTATATATATATAAAGGAATTCTATGTATTACCTGTATCAATTTCTACGATAACGTCTTCACATTGGAAACTGCTGCTAACAATATTTTCGCACACTTCGAACGATGTTTCTTCCATATTTTCTTCCGTGCTTGGAAATTCTAAATAAAAGTTTATTTGTAAATACACATCATTCAGCGAACGATATGGTGAAAAAATATTAAAATAGCCTATTTAAGTATTAAGCCGCTTTTACAGTGGGCGTTAACTCTTGTTCTGCTGTTAACTCCGGTTTTTTATATTGAATCAAAATTCAACTGATGAATGATAGATAACTCTCCACTGTAAAAACGATCCTTAAAGACATATGAATGGTGTCGATGAAGGCAGATGTCATTGTGTTGCTGGACTCATTCTGCGTTATTGACCTTAAATTAGTTCCGTCGCTATCACAGCTTTTATCTATCTCGCAAATCATAACCGGTGCAGCCTGGATGGGAATAGATTAAAAAAGATAAAGTAAAATTTCGATATGGTTTGATAAGGTGATTGTGCCAGATTCTTTAGCAAATAGTACTTACCTCTTCAACCATGATTATAATTGCTCCAAGTTGAGGCGAGGGAGTAGGAGCTTGTGGTCCAGCCCCAGTCCTTAAAAAATTTTCCCATTTCAACTCCGAGCTTTACGTGCGACAGCTTTCAAATTTTCCTACGCTTTCCTTAAAGTTACTGTCTGACGCTAGTTTGGTATTAAATTATATCCGCAATTTAATAGCTACATTCATATCGTCGTTTAAAGTACAAAACCGCGTATCAACAAAATGCAAAACCGCGTATGTGAGGCTGCATAAATTGTTTTGTAGAGAGTAAAAACACTCGTATTTCAAAATCGTTCTCTTTGTTTATAAAGCAATCGCATTTATGGCTAGTATATTTCAGAACGAATGGATAAGGACTGAGCCAAGAGCTTGTGTGAGCAAATCCAATTTTTGGCAGCAAATATCAGTTATGCGGTTTTGTAGAATGACGATACGCCTTGCCCTTGTAGATAAATGTGGTACATCTCGTGTGATTTCAATGTACATATGTATTTTTTTACACAATTTTATTAACAAAAAATAATTTTATTTGCATACATATAATTGAATATTCAAATTCAAATATTTCAAATATTGTCATTTTGAAGCAAATGATGCCATGGAAAAAAAGAAAAATTTGATGGATATTTAAGAATGTCATTAGCTAAGAATACCTTAACTTTTGACTTTGGGGTGTATCGTTCATTAACAGATTTATTAATAGTTAGTTAAGTGCCCTTAAGAGCTAAGTTAATGGTTGATTCTGAGTGCGGCTGTTAGATACCTAAGTGTACATCAGTACTCATGTTTTTGTATCGAGTAACTATTAGTGTTTTAAGTATAAATCTGACAAGTCTGTGTGTTGAAACCATTTTGATATACACATTAATTTTCTCACTTTGGTCTTCAACATGCTTTTGTGCAGTCAAGCAGCAAACTCTTAACTTATTAAATATAAGGAACTCAAGAACGAATAAATAAGTTATCATTCACTAAAATATAAAAGGATCTTCCCATCATCTTTATTATTCAACATGGTAGCAGAGCAAGGTTTGCGGTTCAAACTGTAAGTTAAACAAATAACATACATATAAACCATCTTGTGCTGTCAAATCACAAGTTATAACGAGTAGCACGTGGGAGCAAAGTGAAATCTTATGTAACAAAAATGATGGGAGACAATGACGAGGTTCGCATACCGGTAGGGTTCGAACGATACTATCGATATTGAGTAAGTATCGATACTGAGGTTATA